AGGAAGGCGTGCCGATCCCGTATGATTAAGTTTCAGGAGGTATACACACCAGTTAGTCCTCGGCGGTGAGACATTTAACGTGAAGCGTTTTATGGCTAGGTGCTTGCCATTTCGTGAAGCCCAGGTAAAAGAGAAGACTGGATAAAAGCGTAGTTGCGAGGGTCGACCCTGCTTGGTTAAAGGGACCATGAAATTACCTTTTGCTTTCGCCAGATAACTTTTACATTAAACGTTCAGTGTTCTCTGAACGCCGAACAGGCATCCGTTTTCGTTTCGGTTTATTAACTTGTATATAAAAAAAAAAATATAATATTGAGTTTTTTTTTCTTTTCAACTTACCGCAAAACAAGTCGCGGCGTAATTTTGACAGTCGTAACGTATTCTGGCACCGGAGCCGGAAGTCCTCTCGGCAGTGGGAGAATGGGAGTGTTAGTGGCGAGGTGGCGGTGTAACGGTAGGTTTTACCACAGGGCTTTACTGCGCTGATGGCTCCGGTGCCACCGACATATTTTCTGAATCGGCGCCTCTCATCCCCGCAATAGCCATGAACACATCGCAGCGGAGCGCCATTCAATTAGATATGTTGCGCTACAGCGACAGCATGCGACGGGCCCCATACGCCGGTACGCCTGCTGGAAAGTGCGATGAGTCTTCCGACAAAGACTCCAGTTCGTCGTCGGAATTTAACGACAAAAAGCGGTAGCTCCAATGTACTGAATGTTTCAAGCCTAACGGATGACCTTAGACCTGGGGTCTCTCAAACCGATGAGCCGGCACCAAGTGTTTCGACCTGGTTCCTCGAGTTGCAAGCGGTGAAACTGCACCCGTTATTTTAAAGCTCCAAACTGCACAAACTGCAATTCGGGCACTTGTAACGAGCGCGCTAGCTACGACTGCTTCCGTTGTGACCGGAGCGACTGGAAAAACGGCTCTGTGCCGCGCGTACATACTTCTGCAACCGCTGCAACTAACGCAACAGGTCGTCAGCACGACTGCCACTTCCCTGTCGCCGTCAACCCTTTCCGCGGTGAATCTAAAAAGAAGGGGGCACGATGCCACTCAATGACGAAGCAGAAAAAGAACAGAGTTTTCTATAGGCTCAAAGTTTATTAGTTTGTTTTTTGTCACGATAGGCTAGCAAAACACAGTCGATGAAAAAAGAAAAAAAAAGATGCAGTATGCCGTTTTGAGCGATCACGACTTTAAAACCCGACTTTACCGATAATACAAATCGCTCCAAGCTCCTTTTTTACGGTCGCAAAGAACGATGTATTCTCAGCACTGATGTAGCAACGTAAAAATTCATTTCGTGATCCCACAGACGTTGCGAGTGTTCAGAAATGCAAAGACTACTCCCTTTCTGAACATGATTGTAAGCCTGAGACTGGGGCAGAAAAGAGAACACAACAGAAGGTAGAAAAAGAGGAGGCAACGTCTCAATTAAGACGTTGCCTCCTCTTTTTCTACCTTCCGTTGTGTTCTCTTTTCTGCCCCAGTCTCAGGTTTGCAGTCGTGTTCAACTTACACGAGCTCGCCTGCACTCTGACTATTTTTTCGTTACTCACTTTCCTTCGGCAATGAAATCGCTTCAAAATTCGTATCCTTTTTACACGTCTTTAAATACAGTGGTACACCCCTATTCGCAACTCCAGCAACTTATAGGGGGCGCCACCACCTAAAGAAAATGGCGGCTGGAAACAGGTCGCCTCGGCTTGGCCGGACCGCGTGAATGGGTGAAGCATTCAGTTTAACAGATTTTATTTTGTTTAATGCCCTATTATATAGGCATTTGAACTATGACGGCTAAGTGTAGCCGGTGCACATAAATTAGCCGAGCATAGTTTTGTTTTTCCGTGCGTTTTGTTCTTCTTATGTCAAACTTTTGTTTCGGAGATTTTGTTCAAAACTGAAACTATGAGCTCTGGAGAGACGGTAAATGACTCTAATCAGTTGTTTGATCAGCTAAGGAAAGCGGCGCTGACTACATAATATTTCCAGCAAGAGTAATCTTCAGCAAGCTCGCATGTCGAAGGTCACGCGACTTATCTGCCGTCAAAATCGGACATTCGTGGGCATCCGTGTTTAAGAAACAGCTCCAGTCGTCTGCTCGGTCAACAACACAGGCTTGAGGCAAATTACGAAAATTAAGCAAACGCTTCCTGAGTCAAGGAGCATGTTAACCCGCTGGCGCCCCGCTGAACTGATACTCGTATTTTAATTCAGGTTTTAGTAGCAATCGAGAAGTCATTTTGACGAATATGCGGATTATGTATTATATTACGCACTATGTCCCACTAAAGCGATATTAGTATATTCTTCGGGTCGAAATATGAGATTAATTCACAAGCTATTAGGTGAACTGCTGAATAATTTTTTTTTTCCAAGTGTTCTCTTGATCAGCGTGTGTGAAAAGATCTCCACAAACCTGAAGTGCAAGACATCGGGAACAGGTTCAACTCAGCAAACAAATGATAAACAAATGATTGCAATATTACCCTTCATTCAAGAAATAACACTGAAGTTAAAGAAGATATCTGCGAGGCAGGGCATCAAGGTTGCGTGTTCTGCGCCGAACAAAGCCTACTTAATCTGTCGTAAGGCAAACCAGGACACTAACCACATGAAAACCTGCAACATCGCTCACAGGACACGATAGGCCCCATGTGAAAGAGGGGTTCTTTATCACATTCTCTTATCATGTGGCAAGTGTAATATTGGTCAAACTGGTAAATGTCTCAATGAAAGGACTAGAGAACACGCAGCATCATTAAAAGGCACAACTGCAGGGCAACTACCGGCACATTGCCGCAACTGTGCGTGCGGTGCAGAGGTCAACAGCGTCACCATCATCGGAAAACACAAGAAGCAGTATGCTCGAGAGATGCTCGAGGCCTTGGCCATTGAGGAAAACGAAGCCACATGCGTCAGCGAGCCCTCAATCAAGCTCAATACCAAAGAAAAACAATATTTTTGGTGGTTTATGACCCAGTGAAGTGCGGGTGAATCAAATTTTAGTTTAAGTAAGTTTTGGATATAAGCTGTGTTTTTATGTGGATTTCAAAACAAAAAAGCAAAAAGAAAAAAAGCACAAAGTCAAGGTTCAGAAAGAGGAGGAAGTATTAAACCACAGTTGGTAGTCCAGCAGTATGCTTGTCTCTTTCTCTCCCTATATTCTATTTGTCTAAATTCAGCTGGCCTTCTCAGTGTGATGCACAAACAAGCTCAACTACAGCCTGTCACTCATTCTTAGAACATCTATCAAGTGTATATATGGTAGGCGTTAAACTATTTGATAAAGCGCACCGTGAGCATACGCGTCTGGTGTCTGAAAACTCAGAGTTTCGCTAAACATTTGTAACGTAGAACGTTTCACGTACGGAACGCAATAAAATGTAGAAAGGTCAAGTCAAGGATAGCGCTCTACAAGAACGTTCGGCGAGTTGGTAATGACTAAACATGGTTAAAATTGCGCATAAGTATAAAGTAACAATGAAGAAAGAAGAGACAAGGCGCAAACCCACAACTCTATGTATTGAATGAAGAAAAAAGCCTCGAGGTACACCTAAGCACTTCTTATGAGTTGTAAACGCGAAAGCACGCACGGCCGCTCTTCGCTCCCTTCTTTAATCTGTTTGCGTACATCGCGCTTACCTTGGGCGTAGAACGGTGGAGCCTCGCAGACACGCAGCGCCATCGGGTGAGCGATCGTTCAAACTGTCGTGTGCCTTGCGGCGCGAGGAAGGAACAGATAGCAACGTAGTTCCCAGCAGAAGGAACCCCTTGGTTTATTCCATGCGCCGTATATATTGCCACGCGTCGTGCAGCCGATAAGAGGCAAGCGAACGCGGCGTTCAGTGATAACACAGCAGTGTGATAACACAGTCAGGATGACACCAGACAAACTGACGCGCAGCGGCTAACGGGAGCCTCGTCGACGTGCGCCAGCCAATGGGACCGAGGTGTAAAAGGTGCCGTTGGCTAGCTTTGCACGGGGCACCCGAACACACGGAAGACACGCACCATCAACCACACTCAAACGATTTTAGAAAGACGATTTTCTTGTCGGTTAGTTCTACAGAATGATGGCTGACACAACGCTCGCCTAGGCGGAGTATACTAAAAGCTTCAAAAATCTCTGTCAGCTGCAGGACGACTTATTGACAGATTCTACGAAAAACACACTAGGGAAATTATTGAAGCTTTTAGTATACTCCGCCTAGGCGAGCGTTGTGTCAGCCATCCTTCAGTGGCATTCACCGACAAGAAAATCGCCTTTCTACAATCTTTTAAGTTTGGTTGATGGTACGTGTCGTCCACGTGCTTGGGGGCCCTTGTGCGAGTGTGGCCTCTGCTCGAGCTGATACTATGGGCTTTTCTTTTTTCTTCCTTCAAAATATCGACCTGTGAGTTTGCGCTTGTCACTTCTCTCTGCACTGTTCCTTTTTGCTTGTGCGCAATTTAACCATTTGCAACACAATACTCTAGCAATTTGCTTTGCAATTTGAAGTTCGCGTTATCACTGCGAGCCCTCAAAAACAAGCAACAATAACAATAGCCAACCGGAAGCTACATACTCCACCCGGAAGTTTGATCGCGTCCGTTTTTGTTTTCTCTGAAGGAACCGCCACCGCATAAATCGGAAACCGATTTATGCGCTGGCGGTTCCTTCAGAGAGCCATCGATCTCTTTCCTTCACGCAGTAGGCAGTAAACTTGTAATTGATGCGTTTTTTAGAGTAGCTCAATTTCGTAGCTTCGCATGTGCGCACATTTTTGTTTATTTTTTTTTTTAAATAAAAAGTGTAATTCCCGCAAATTTTTTTTGTTTTTATTCGTAAATCAGGACGCACGCTTTAATGATGCTGAATATACTTTTCAAAAAGCAGCAACTTAGTTTTCTAGAATGGCTATAAAGCTGCCACTTTTTAATTCGGTATTTATACATTATGTGACATCGTAGACCCAATAACAAGAAAGCAATAAATGATAACCACGTTGCAGGTCTGGGAGGATGAACAAATCACGTTCTCAGAGCTCCTCAAGATGTTCCAGCGATACGCCGCTGGGTTCCAGAGACACGGCGTTAAGAGAGGCGAAAAGGTTCTGGTTCATCTGGACAACTCTCTGGAAAACATGATCGCCATGTACAGCGTCGTGTTTGCTGGGGGAGTGGCTGTGGTGTCCCAAACTATCTTATCAGACGGTGAGAACATGTGGCACTATTTTACAAATCATATTTTGCAGGAAAGTGATTAATGTTCCTTTAACACAGAGCTACACGGTTTAAAAATTAATATGTCAACTCGAGATTGAGAAAAAAACAGTGCAGGTGAACAAATTACTTGACAGTTTGGTATGGCGTTTGTTGTCTGTGTGTCTGTTACCGAGCCAAAAGGGTTGATCTTTAGGTGCTGCTCTGGGCGCTCCGAATAACGTTTACGGCTTTTAAACTCTCGAGACCTGCTCGAGTACTCTAGAAAGAAGAACACTGAAGCGGACACCACTGAAGAGAAACGGGGGAGGGGGGAGGGGCACATACTCAGCATCTTCGCTGGAAAAATGAATTGCCGGAAAAGTGAGAACAGCGTTTGGCACAAAGAAGCAATGTATGCATGTTCTGCTACGACCTTGGGAGGAGTGGGGGAACAAGGTTCGTCTCAAAAGACCCTTTTCGATATTCAGTCAAGCAACTTTGATCACTTTCACCATCTCTGCATGTGGCATCTGTGAAAAACTAATTACGGCCAGTCTTGGGTAAGTTACTTTTAAAAAATAATTCATTACAGTTACAGTTACTTTCAGAACAAAGTAGCGAAGTTACCGTTACAGTTACCTCATCAAAAGAGTAGCTCGTAACAGTTACAGTTACTTTTAAAAAGTAACGACGTTACTTTTCAGTTACTTTTCTAACAAAAAATTAGAAAAACTAGAAAACGGCCCTCACAACGTTTTATTGCATAAAATTAAAAGTATGCTTTTTACTTTATGTTGTAACTTAGAAGCAGTTACTTCTCGAAGTTAGTGTTTGAAAGTTTCCACGCCAGAGTAGTGGCGCAAATCAACATACGAAACATGCGCTGTGCGGAGTAGTGGCGCTAATTAAAATACGAGACATGCGCGGTGCCCTCAACGTGTATTGTTGTTTCACGCTTGATTGACCCGATTAAAAAGCGTTTGCACAGAAAAGAGAAAAACCACTACATAGATAGTGCTTCAAGACACTAAGACGTAAGTGTTCAGTCACAAAGTACAAGCGCGTGCGTAAAGATAACTAGACATTTTTTCATTAAATCTACACGTTGCTATATTCGGGTCGTGACTCGAGAGAAAGAACGTATTCACAACTTTGTGCAAGGCCAACTTGACACTCGAAATCTCGGAATAGACATTTTGAAAAGTGCAAGGAATGGCTATATTGCACCCTCGTTTAGTGATATATTATTCATAAAACACTGGAAAGTAGCGACAAAAGTAACGTCGTTAGTTTCATGGTTACCTCAAAGAAAAGTAATAGAACTACAGTTACAAGTTACATTTTTAAAAAGTAACTCGTTACAGTTACAAGTTAGCTAAAAAGTAACGAAGTTATAGTAACGCGTTAGTAGGAACGCGTTACTATTTAAGACTGATTACTGCCATCTTGAGGATGATGAAAAATAAGTTGAAAATCATGCCAAGTGGAGGATATATGAAGATTTTTGTTCGTTCGAGACGTCAGTACAACACGACTCACGAATCAGATACAACGGCTGCGAAAGCTGCTATTTCGTGGTGTGTTCCAACCAATTCTTTTGAACAACACTCCGAAATAAAAGCTTCCGCAGCCTTTCTAACTCGTCCGTGATGTGTATACGTAGGTCAGTCAGGCCGCTGCCTGAACAAAAGGTTACGGGAACATGCTTCTTCACTCAAATCAACACCGGCGGAAATCCTCGCAGTGCACGTGCGAGACTGTAACTGCCAACTGATACTAACAGAAACAAAAGTCCTCAGAAGGTTCCGTGACAAGATATCAAGGGAACTATACGAGACGATGATCATTGAATAAAAAAAAATCTTGTGTTCTTTGTCGTCCTGTGTGTTCTTTCTCACTTCTTGCCACTAATGGTCCATTAGTGGCAAGAAGTGACAAAGACCTTCATTATCTTGCCTTTTCTAGCTGAGGTTTTTTCAGTGATTCACTCTCAGCATCTTCCTTTTGTAGTTTGTTCTGCTCTTTCTTATTTTTTTATTGTAATATTCTTCTGTTTTTTTATGTTGTTTTCCGTTCTGAAAGAAAAGAAAGAAACACTACCTATTCCTCGCCATCTTTGCGAGAATGAAAAAGGCAGTCATAAGTTAGGGCTTGTGCCGTTATGCCCGAGTCTCACTAAAGTGACAAACAGGAACAAACGACAGCGACAAGCCTCAAACCAGAGTCTTTCGCGATATGAGAGGCTTTCTAGAATAAAGAAGGTTATGGTCAAACACGAGCACGATACATGCACGGGTATCTTTGGCAGGCTTGCAATCACTCGTGCTTACTTCACGAGCACAAAATGACTAAACGCCTACTAAAGGTTCCATCCCGAGCATGCTACATGCGTTTGAGGATTGCCGCTGTCGTTTGTTTCTGTTTGTCGCTCTAGTGGGGCTCGTGCATCAGTGTGTGCGTGACCTTCGCGACATTTATTTGTAATATGCATATCCAACTGGCACACCTTGATATTATAAAGCAGTTTCTTTCTTCTGCGAATGGCCCCATTTCGTGTGTATCTTATCCAGACCCAGTTTCTTATTATATTGGTTTATCACCTTCTCAGACGGCCGAGCAAAGTTTTATGCTTATGCCACCAGAAGCAATTTGATACCCATAACATGAAAGGTATGTTTGGACAGGCAAAGCCCTCAATACGCCACAGCAAAATGATTTGAAGGATTCCCCGATCCGAGCTGTGGAGGCAAGTCAGGTTTTATCATGAGTGCCTGTGGCTACTAGCAAGCATGGAGGCCCCTGGTATCAACCATGAATCAAGATTCAGGTCCTTTTTCACACTGCCACCAGAATGACAATTTCTTTGGCGGACCTACGTACAACACCTAAGTTATCAACGAGCCAAATAGCTATGAAAAGAACACCAGTGCGAATCGGTTCAAGTTTGCAGAATTCTTTTCTTTTCTAGACATTAAAAAGGTCGGGGAGAAAGGCCCCCCATTTTTTAGCGGCTCCTAACACGTAAGGCGTACACATGCTGTGAACTATATGCAACAATGCCGCGAAGGCTTCGCAAACTGACAGAACCAAATGTATAGATGAATATGTTTATGTTTTTGTTTAAATCTGAATATTTTGAAAACTATACAACAAGTTCTAGAGTGGTTGATTATTTAATACAGAAAAATTTAAACCTAGTTTCAGATAAGGAAAAAGGAACTTTTAATGTGTACCAACAAAAGGTATTTGAAAAAGTCGACTGTAGAAGAACTTCAAGCATTTGCAAGATGTTCGAACCAAAAAAGTGAAAGCTAAAGCACTTTAAGTGTGCTTGAAGCTTGAGTCAACAAATCTAAAAAAAGCAAATAACCGCATTTAAAATAAGTTTTTGATATGTTTTTTACGACAAAAACACAGAAAGTAGAATGTCCCTTCCATGTTGTCGTCAGAGAAAAAGGTTCGTGGCAAGGTGCTATGTCAAGGTTAGTATTTATTCAGTTATCAAACCTCCGACTGGAAGATCCCTTTTGGAATCCCAAGTCAGAAGTGGCACATATACTAAAAAAATGTTAAAATTCGAGTAGAAAATGTTTTTTTTTCCCTTTTTCACTTTATTTTATTTATTTAGCTCAAAGACATCCTTATGGATGCAATACATAAGCGAGGATTTTAAAATGGTGAAAATGCACAATATAAAAATAGCTCTATAAGAAAAAAAGAACCACAGAGTAAGAAAGTTCACGTTATCTGGTTCAAACATAAAACCAAATCATCAATCACATTCCAGCATAATCAAGAATGCAAATTTTTAAGTTCAAAAGTAAAAAAAAACGTATGGTAAATCTAAAAGTAAAAAGCCATGAAAAGCAACAGAGACAAATATGGTGTCAGACATTTACGTTGGCTGGCCCACACATAGCACAATATTATTGGCCACGCTCAATAATTCCGAGTTTTGGAGTACATTTCAAAACGTTTATTCAAACTTCTTTTTAAACAACACCTCATCTTGTTGGGCTGTAACAGATTCTGGCAGGGTGTTACAGTCGGAAATGCACAATAACAACGGGGATGAAGAAAAAGATTAGTACGAGCTGGTATAAGGTTCCTCTTTCTGTACGTTATCAATTCTGGCTGAGATATGAACTGCGAGTCTACAGAATGAATGTTTGAAGCTGGAAGCACTGTAATGAAAACTATAAAAGTAACACAAACGATAAATCTTTCTTTGTATCTCTAGAGAAGATAAACCGATATTTTGTATTATGCACGTAACGCTGGTGTGATAGAATAATTTTCAGAGATAAATCGCGGGGCTTTGTTTTGCAGTGATTCACGAGTTTTGACTCTGTAATTTTGATACGAATTCCACATTATATTTGCGGATTCTAGCTTGGGGAGTACGTTAGTCTTATAGGCAAGCAGCGCGTACCCTGGGGTGCCTGGTGCAATGTACGCCTTAGAAAGCCAACTTTCTTTGATGCGCTTAGTTTGACATGATTGATGTGTTCGATCCAAGTTAAGTTATGCGTAATGTGCATGCCTAAATATTTATATGACGTGGAAACTTCAACTTTAAGAGAAAGAAGGTTGTATTGGATCGATTTTACATCCGACTTTTTGGTGACTGTCACTTACGTACATTTTTTAGTATTGAAGTTGAGTTGCCATTCCACGCACCATGTGCCAATTTTGTCCCGGTCATCCTGTAGGGCGAGACTATCAAAGAAATAGGTTATTTTCCGATATAACACGCAGTCGTCCGCAAACAACCTGGCGGTAGACGTTAAGGTTAATGGGAGGTCGTTGACGTGTATCAGGAATAGGAGGGGTCCTATAACTCTACCCAGTGGGACACCTAATGTGACGGGACATTGAGATGAAAAAGTGTTATTTAATTTCACTGACTACGTTCTGCCACGTAAAAAGGCTGCTATCCAGTCTACAATCAAAGGGTCGAGTTCAAGGTGGTAAAGGTTTAGTAGTAAGCGGCAATGCGGAACTGTATT